GTGAAGTAAGTATCCTTTAGATCAAGGGTGCCTTAGCAATTCTCGGAATCCAGTGAGGGAATGGTGGACAAAGGAAACCATGCAGAACATCAGGTTCTTGAGATATCGGTTGAGACGTCGCAAGTCTAGCATGGGTGTGAGACTCCTTTTGGCTTTCGGAATTAGAAAGTCACGGAAATAGAACCCCTTTCCTCTAAAGTGAAAGGGAACCTCCTCCATGGCTCCCATTGGAGGGAGGGATTGGATATCTTGCTCCAACAGGAGCGTATGAGAAGGGTGTCTGAAGAGGGACGTGGAGCGGGGATGAGACACTGGGGATTGGTTGGTATAACCTAGTTCTGTCGTACTGAGAACCCAGGGTCTGAGGTGGTATGGGTCCAGGCATCCAGGAAATAAGAAAGACAGCTGGAAAATGGGGGCCAGCTGGATCCAATGCAGAGGGGATTGTGATGTCAACCTTGAGTGTCTTGTGAAAACGAGTGCTTTGATGACCTGGCATGCCTCGGAGCTGACTGTGTAGGCCCTGATGAGGAAGATTGGGGCTCCTTCTCCTCCTTCCCCTGCTCCTTCTTCTCCACTGGTCCTGCCTGGCAATCTGAGGGAAGTAACGGCTCATCTTCTGCAGCTTATTCTGCTTCCTTGAACTTGTAAGTACATAAAGTCCCAGGGATTTCAAGGTTACCTTGGAATCCTTAAGGCCGTGCAGCCTATCATATGTCTTTTTTGAGAAAAGCAAGGATCCCTTGAAAGGGAGGTCCTGGGTAGTCTGTCGCACTTCCTGAGGGAGCCCCAAGGACTGCGGCCAAGAGCTCCTATGCAATGTAACCACGGTCGACATTGATCTGGCACGGAGTCAGCAGCATCCAGGGCTGTCTGCAGGGAGGCCCGAGCCGTGGTCCTTCCTTCTTCAATTAGGAAGGAAATCTCCTGTCTGGAGTCTTGGGGGAGCAGCTCCTTGAATTTAGTCAACGAATCCCACATATTAAAGTCATAGTGCCCCAGCAGGGCTCACTGGTTTGCTACACAAAGTTGAAGGCCCCCTGATAAGTATGCCTTCTGTCCAAAGAGGTCCAATTTCTTAGGATCCTTTCCCTTAGGCATAGAACCTGGCTTCCCTTGGTGATCACGTGTGTTGGCCACCGCAACCACCAGGGCAGAGCAAGAAGGAAAATACATTGACGCTGCTGCCCTTGCTCCGGAGATGGTGCCTCAGATCCAATCAGTCTTCTCTTTGAAGTAGGTTGAAATTTGTATATTGGGACTTGGTGATTTAAATTGGTGTTAAAGTATCCGTGAGAGAGATATGCAGTTATTATGAGGTCTGACCACTTCATCTGTACCTTGTTTTCCTATGTTATACAGTTTAAGAAGGAGAATAATATATTTTTGTGCTTTGTTTTATATAAATGACTATAATGGGTTGAAAACTAGCAAAGCAAATGGATTATTAAATGTCTGTCGTAAAAAAAAAATAAATAAAGAAGCAACTATTTATGTTATGAAGGTCAGTTTGTCTGTCCGTCCAGCTGGTACTTAAAAGGCCCCTATCTGCGTCCTACCTGAGCACCTCCCAAGTGTTTAAAAATAGAAATAAAAATAATGTGTATTTGGAAACCTAAAACCTTCACTTTTTCTGAAGCCATTTTGGCTAAATCCTGTTAAAACCTGTCCTCAGTGATTTAAAATGAAGGAAGTTTTGCACTCTGGACAGATGGGAGGAATATACTGGAACATAAATACTCGTTTGAGAAGCTGAACTAAACTTTGTTGCAGTGTGAATGAAACTTTCACAGCCACTTCTCTAGCATCTTTACCTTCCCTAAGCAGGGCTGTCGTCTCTGTTAGGAGCTATCCCCTATCTTATTTTGTCCTGGTCCTTTTTGGATTGAGCTTCTCTGACTGTTGAAGAGTTGACCCAGTAAAGGGTAAAGCCCTGTCCTCCCATGTCCCAGCTGTACCTAGCCACTGCACATTGCTCTCTCATTTTTCCTTCAAGAGCCAACTTCCCTGTTCCCACCTAACATGTATTTCCCAAAATGGTGCTGCTGGTCTGCAAGATGGGAGCTACAATGAACAGCTTCCCCAGTGGTCCAGTTTGGAACTGTGCTCTCCCATTTTAACTTTATCTTTGAACAGCACTCAATTTAACATTGCTTTAAACATGATTATCCGTACGCTCTATATGAAAAAAAAAATAACCCAATGCTGAAATGTGACCTCATAATTACATGGTTCTACAAAAGCAATAATGAAAAAAATTGCTTTGTATTTAGATATTCATGAGTATGAGTATTTGCTTTTTCCATATTTCTGGTGAGGCTCAAATATGTCATTTCATCAGTTCCACCTGGCAATAGCGTGAGAACATTTTTAGATAGATTTCACATAATAAAACAGAATATTTCAACTTGCTAGTTTAAACAGCGTTCATAGTGAAATTTAATAGTAGTCCTTCCTGAATATCAATATCTGCTTTATTTTACCACCTTTTAGATATATTCACTAGCAGCACGAAACAGCCTATGTTAACTTGGCATTCTGACAGAAGATTTTACTACTTTGCAGACTCTCTCTGCCTTCCAGCTATGTAGAGAATTATATTAAATGCAACAGAAGCATATGAAATATTTGAAACATTTTCGACAATTTTTCCACAATTACATTTTTAGCTAATTTAATGCTCTTGAAAGGTGTCAAATTGACAGCTGTAGAGATTTAGGTCCTCTATTATCTACATGACCAGTACAGTAGAGGCAGCAAGTGATTTCCCACATTGTAACTCAAATGCAAGATTCCCCACTCTGTCCACCAATGTACACCCGCCCTAACTTGGAGGAATGTATCTCTAGTGGCAAGGGGAATTAAGTATCCATCCTCACTCATCTTAGACTTTGCTATTCCTCTCAATATTTTTTCTAATGGTAATAAAGAAAAGGAGGACTTGTGGCACCTTAGAGACTAACCAATTTATTTGAGCATAAGCTTTCGTGAGCTACAGCTCACTTCATCGGATACTGTAGCTCATGAAAGCTTATGCTCAAATAAATTGGTTAGTCTCTAAGGTGCCACAAGTACTCCTTTTCTTTTTGCGAATACAGACTAACATTTTCCTTCCTTAGAGGTTTTTAAGGTCAGGCTTGACAAAGCCCTGGCTGGGATGATTTAACTGGGAATTGGTCCTGCTTCGAGCAGGGGGTTGGACTAGATGACCTTCTGGGGTCCCTTCCAACCCTGATATTCTATGATTCTATGGCTGTTACTCTGAAACTTTTCTAATGGTGTATTTCTTAAAGTAACGTTGTAAGATGATTAAAGTTTAGTCAGAAATAGTGGTATATTTAAACTAACTGGTGGATCTGTGTAACGATGACTTAGGTAGCTGATCACCTTCCTAATTTAAATTTGCCTCCTCTACTTTCTTTTTCAAACACAGTTGCTCTTTTTCTGAAATAAAAGCAAATCAGTGTTTATTAAGAAAGCAGTAGAGTCTTTTGGAGGGGTGGAGAGAGGTGAAAGCGGTCTTAGAATTGAAGGGAGTTTTCACTTCCTTATACATTTTAATGTATTTCATATATAGTTAGCTTCCAAATTCATCAAGAGTAGTATGTACAGTGAGGTAAAAAAGTTATCCTACCCAGGGTTACTAACCGCCTGTCTTAAGATATTGCTTTCCAGATGTAACTATAAATCTGGTAAGTCATTTTGCAGTGCTAGCAATGTTAACTTGCCAAGGTAAAAGGCCATTTAATGCTTTCAGAACGTTTTTGTCATAATGCTTATGTAGTATTAGTTTAGACTATTTTAAGCATAGTTTTTCAAAGTCATGTGTAATTTTAACAACATAATTTAAGATATTTTTATATTTTTTCACCCATGTCTAAAAATGGATTCTAAGGTTTCCCACTTTCCAGGGATCATGAAGAAAGTAACTAAAATGTCTATTTATTTATATCAAATGTGTGATTATTAATTTTAATAATACCTTAATTTCAGTTTTTGCTGATGATAATGATTGTGTGAGATCATGGGCACAAATTTGGAGCTGTTTTGAAGCCCCTTTGAGATTTTGGCTATAACTGTACAAGATTAGCTGAAAATGAAATGAACATAAAGTATCATAATAGGGTTCTGTCATCACTACTTAAAATACAGCTAATAGTATGCAAATATGCATAACAAAGCAATTTCTAGGTCTTCTAAGGCTTTTTCATATTTGTATATTTGCTTCTGCATTCAGGTTTTGGAATTTTCTCCAAGATTGTTTTAACCTGAGTGCTTTTCAGCTGTGAAAACAATTTTTACAACCAAACTAAACAATGTATTGCATATGGAAAACTCCAAGAAGAAAACTGGAACATGTGTTTCTATGTACCATTTAATCTATACTTGCCCATGCAGAAAGTTTCTGTTTGACACAATAGCATAAAATTCTCTTGCTGACAGAATGGTTTGTTTTGTTGCATACAATTTGACTAATATTGTTTTTATATTATCTTTAGAAAAGCAGATTATTTAGGGCAGGAACCCTCAGGGGGTCACAAGATGGTTACCTGGGGGTAGAGAGCTGTCAGCTTCGTGGCTGACAGCCCTGAGCTCCCATTAAATTAAATTAAACTCTCCCATTTTTAATTTATAAGGGGTGGAGGTCACGCTCTGAGGCTTGCTGCATGAAAGGGGTCACCAATACAGAAGTTTGAAAACCACTGATTTAGGGCTTGATTCTGTCACATTTACTCATGGTGAATAATATCTTACTCTGAAAGTAGCCCCACTGAAATCAGTGTGACTAGTTGTGGAGTACTAACATGAGTGAAGGTGACAGAATCTGGCCCTAAGTATTAATAAATGTCACTCGGGCTTCAGAATAAATGATGATGCAATATTTCTAGGTAACTAGGAGATACTGATAAGAGTGGGTCAGAAATTAAAATACGGGGGGGAAAACGTTTCTGCATTCAAAACTGTATCAGTGATGAGCTATCTTCTATCTTTCTGTGAAGGGCTATCGCCAGAAGGATTATTTCATTGCAACCCAAGGACCACTTCCTCATACAGTGGAAGACTTCTGGCGAATGGTGTGGGAGTGGAAATGTCACACGATTGTTATGCTTACAGAAGTTCAAGAAAGGGAGCAGGTATGATTTGGTTGTGCAAAGTTTGTAATTATAAGGTCCAAGCTCTTTCTGTTAATACATCCTTTTTCCTTCCCTGCCTTGAATCTCCCTGCATTGATTATTCTGTGCCCATTGCCCCCCGTGGGCTGACCATCCTACAGGTAAAAGCAAAGGGCCTGTGCATGCTAGATTTTGTCCATTTAACGTACAGCTACGTTCATAGACATCAAGTACAATAGAATGCCTTATTCAGGGGACTAAAAATTCATGAAAATGAATTGCACAAATTTTTGTTGTTGTTATATTTAGCGCAGGTAGTGACCCTATGATCCAATGCTCTTTCTTGGCTCTGTATGTCCCTGATGATTCTGTGATAGCCTCAAGAATAGAAAGTTACAGCACAGTCCAACTGGGTCTGTCCCCAGTCCAAGTGGGCTCGGACCCCTCTTTGTTCCCAGTCTGGAATTGATCCTCCTTCCTGCTGACCACACTATAGCACTTCCCAAAAGCCCCTCCTTTGTCTTCTTTCCTAGGCAAACAGATCACCTGAGCTCGCTCTCTTCAGCCCTTTGTTCTTCCACTGGCCAAAACCAGCTGGCTTCCAAGCTGGGGAGGGCCTTTGGATCAGCAGTTGCTAAGTTCCAAAGTGTCCAGGCTGTTGTCTGGGGTCCAGGCGGCTAGGCAATGTCACACCTGGTCCTCTGCAACAATAAACTCTCTTCCCCACCACCTGATTAAACATGCAGACCATAGGGGAAACTGAGGCACACACAATATTCATACAAAACAGTAAGAAAATTCCCTACTTCATCACACCCTTATATTTAGGTTGCATAACACTTCATTATAAAATATTCTGGCTGCCTTTTTTAGAGAAGTGCTAACTCTTCCACTGTTTGCAGCAGGCCTTTAAAATATGGCAGGGGGGAAGACCTTGGACTAGAGAAGTGCCTTTTCTTTGTCTCATGAAATTCCACTCAGGTTTAGCTGAAATGTATATGCTTTGGAACATTGCCACTTCTGTTGCTTGAATTGTCAGCAAAATTTCAGCAACATTCAAAACCATCATAGAATCACAGAATTGTAGGACTGGAAGGGACCTAGAGAAGTCATCTAGTCCAGTCCTCTGCACTAATGGCAGGACTAAGTATTATCTAGACCATCCCTGACAGGTGTTTGTCTAACATGCTCTTAAAAACCTAAACCACTCTTGCTGCAATTTAAGTCCATTGCTTCTTGTCCTATCCTCCAAGGTTTAGGAGAACAATTTTTCTCCCTCCTCCTTGTGACAACCTTTTATGTATTTGAAAACTGTTATCATATCTCCTATGTCGTCTCTTCTCCAGAATAAACGTACCCAGTTTTTTCAATCTTCCCTGATAGTCATTTTTTCTAGACCTTTAATCATTTTTGTTGCTCTTCTCTGGACTTTCTCCAACTGTCCACATCTTTCCTGAAATGTGGCACCCAGAACTGGACACAGTACTCCAGTTGAGGTCTAATCAGTATGGAGTTGAGCGAAAGAATTCTCATGTCTTGCTTACAACACTCCTGCTAATACATCGCAGAATGATGTGTGCTTTTTTTGCAACAGTGTACACTGTTGACTCATATTTAGCTTGTGATCCACTATGACCCCTAGATCCTTTTCTGCAGTACTCCTTTCTAGGCAGTCATTTCCCATTTTGTATGTATGCAATTGACTGTTCCTTCCTAAGTGGAGTACTTTGCATTTGAATTATTGAATTTCAGACTATTTACTTCAGACTGTTTCTCCAGTTTGTCTAGAAAATTTTCAATTTTAATCCTATCCTCTAAAGCACTTGCAACCCCTCCTAGCTTGATATCATCCGCAAACTTTAAAAGTGTACTGTCTATGCCATTATCTAAATCACTGATGAAGATATAGATAAGAACAAGACCCAGAACTGATCCCCGTGGGACCCCTCTTGATATGCCCTTCCAGCTTGACTGTGGACCACTGATAACTACTTTCTGGGAACTGTTTTCCAACCCGTTATGCATCCACATTATAGTAGCTCCATCTAGGTTGTATTTCCCTACTTTGTTGAGAGGGTCATGCGAGACAGTATCGAAAGCCTTACTCATGTCAAGATAGACACTAGAATAGGAACTCCAGAAGTATACATTCTGGCTGCTGCCATACAGCTGAAGTGGATTGTGGGGAAAGTTGGGTGAGGCTTCCCTGACAAATCCTCTCCCCATCCCACCAGTAAATGGACCCAAAGGCTCATCAACCCGTCCCTGTTGGAGACCATGTGGGCAGCAGCTCTCCCCACCTCATTGAGGGAGACGAGAACTGAGCCAGGTTCCACCTAGTCACCCTGAACCCTTCCTCTAGTGGCTCTTTTCCTCCCTCTAGGATAACACCCTTTTCTTCTGATCAGCTAATGAAGTGAGTCCTGTAGTACAAGCTGTGCTTCAGTGCTGAAGGTTCAGGTTCAAACCCTGAGGATGGTGCATAATGGGGCATTTGTTACGGTAGTACATAGTAAAATTTGGTTTTACCTTTTTACTTTTTAAAAAATCATAGGAAACTACATACAAAAAATTAAAAGAATGTTATTTAGTTTGAAAAGTCAAGAACAAAGTTAGGTAATGCAAGAATTACAGTTGTCTGTGCAAGCTTTTAATTTGGTCCTCTTGTACATATGAATTTAATTACGTGATCATATAGTAAAACTAGTAGTAGTTTCAAATGGACTCCTGCCTATTTCAGGACAACGGTGCTCAGGATATGAATCAGGGTTATGTAGTGAATGTGGCTGTTTGTAGGATTCCTACCTTGTTTGCTGTAGAAATTGGAAGGTGTTTAGCAAACAAGGCAGGAGACTGCAGGAAGAAAAAGGATGCTCTTGTGGTTAAGCCAGGTGAATGCCATAGAGGAGAACTCACTGCTATCCCTGCCTCTGCCATAGTTTTCCAATGCAATACTGGGCAAGTAATTTAAACCTCAATTTGCCAGTGTTCCTCATTTTCTGGTTGTCGAACTTGACATACCTCGGCCTGTTTTGCAAAAGTGTGGAGCATTACAACTGCACATGAAGTATATGCTTGATGCGGATGCACAACACTGCTTGTAATAAGGCAATGTGGTTTGGAGGAATCTGTACAGGGCTGGGAGCCAGAAAGTCCTGCACTCTCCTATCCTATAGGATAGGATAGAGTCCTATCTCTCAAAAAGAAAAGGAGTACTTGTGGCACATTAGAGACTAACCAATTTATTTGAGCATGAGCTTTCGTGAGCCACAGCTCACTTTACAGACTAACACGGCTGTTCCTCTGAAACCCATCCTATCTCTGTCACTGATTCACTGTGTGCCACTGGCAAGTTTTTTTGTCTCCGTTTTCTCCATTTGTAAAATGAGGCAAATAATGTTTTGTTATCTCAGAAGGGAGATGTGGTATGAAATTCATTAATATTTGTGAGCCACTCAGATATTATGGTGATGAGTGCCCTAGAAAAGATAGAAGAAATGAATAATTATGTATTCAGTGCAGGGTTTGGATAGCATGCAGTAAATAAGGCAGGAGGTCACACTGAATGATAGGGATAAAAAGAAAAACTGAATAACTTTTATTCCCTGAGCACTGTCCATCCTGTGCATTGAACGAGGCAAGGGTCCTGTGGAAAAAAATTGTAAGGGATCATGTAGTTAAAGACTATATCATAATGTCATGTGCACAAGGGGGATGTCTTATGGTTGCACAAGCAACCTTTGTATAGTATCTCACACAATGGCATGACTGATCTGAAGAGTTGGTTTTTGGACTTAGTCCCAGGTTTGTTTGTCTTTCATTTTGGGGGGAGGGCATTAATTCCCCATTTTTACTTCTACCAGTGTTTTCATACATTAACATCATTAATAATTGTTTTTTTTCCCTTTGTCCCAAATCCAGCATAGTTATCACCTATATTTTGTATATTGGCTTGTTTTCTAACACCGTGAAGTGCTGAATTAACTTACTACTAATATCTTAAATAGTGCAAGGGGTTTACGCAATAGCTGGTCTAGGCAAGACACTGATTAGGCATTTCACTGCAGAAGTTCTGTAGAACAAGTCTAAAATGCTGTGCATGACCTTGTAAGATGTGCATGACAGTTTAGAGATTAGCAGAAGAATGTTGCAAGGAACATTTACTATTCTGATTCAATTTTACAGGAAAAATGTTTTCAGTACTGGCCATCAGAGGGCTCTGTAACTCATGGAGAGATAAATATAGAGATAAAGAATGACAGTCTTTTGGATGCCATAAGCATAAGGGACTTCATAATCACATTCAATCAGGTATTATCTTGAAAGTATAGTGTTTCCTACACTTTTAACTATTTATAACCATGATAAACCATAGATTTATGAACGTGTGTTTTTGTGTCTTGTGGCAAGCCAAGACAATACATTACATAGGTTTTGTGAGAAATAATGTGTGTTTTATATCAGCTAACTGTCATCTAGCCTTTTATTAATTAGGAGAAAGTACTTATATAAAACAGTTTATGTTTAAGGAGTCACATCACATTAATCAAATGGAAATTCTGGGCAATTCAACATTCCCTCTTTTAATGTGGTGGTTTTATTTTATGCTAAACAATGCAGCTCTTTTGATTGTTGTTGGGAATTGTAGTAAAAAAATGCACATGCATGTTGCTGAAAAAATGTATTAAATTATAATGAAATCTCTGTATAACACAAATACGTCTGCCCACCATCAACTGAATCATGTTTCCAGACAAGTAGAATCCTGTAATCGAAGGAATCTTTAAACCATGATTTGAGGACTTCAATAACTCAGACATAGGTGAGAGGTTTATTGCAGGAGTGGGTGGGTGAGATTCTGTGACCTGTATTGTGCAGGAGGTCAGACTAGATGATGATAATGGTCCCTTCTGACCTTAATATCTATGAGTCCGAGTGATACTTTCAGGGCCATTCTTGAAACTTGTGTGGTTGTTATGGACCAGGATGTAGGTGGTCTGGCCTAGTCATCAGAGCAGGAGTCAGGTCTAGTGAGCAGAGCAGGCATCCAGGTTGGGGAACAAGCCAAGGGTCCGCACGAGAGTCAACTACTAGTTACCAGAGCCAGGGGTCAAGCCAGAGTCAGAATCAGGAATTGATGGTGAGGATCAGAGATCAAATGCCTGAACCAAAGGTCAAACCAGGGTCAGAAGTCGAAGTCCGGGTCAGAGCCATGACTGCTAACTGACGATTGGAGTCAAGGCATAACTGGAGGAGAGGTAAGGATCAAGCACAGAGAAGGAGCATGGTGGAAACAGGAGCAAAAGCGAGATGAGGCAGGAGCCAGAAGCAGAGTAGGAATCAGGAACAGGGTTGGTGCAAGAGGCAGGCACAAGCAGGGTCCTGTGCAGCTACAACAGGAAATCACCTTGTTGCTCAGACATTCTTCCTGTGCCTCCTTCTGGCTTAAATAGCATAGTTGGACTAATCTGTGGAGCAGGGTGATCCTCCAGTCAGGGTTCCCATGGATAGTACCTTGGCTGAGGCTATCGGCCTACTAGCTTCTCGGCCCACTAGATTTCAGCAGACATTGAGTGGCTGTCTGGGGACTCCCAGGCCTTGGTTCAAGACCTAGGATATCACAGGGTTATGACTATCACTACAAACTTCATCATTTGTTTGGTAAATGATCACATCGTTGTTTTTTGAAAATTCTTTTAGTTTTCCCGCAGTAAAACTAAGAGTCTGACTATGACTAAAGTTTATGCGCGGACACACACACGCATGAGACAAAAGGAACTAAGCCAAAGCAATGAGTTTATGAAATATACTAAGGAATTGTTATAGGCATGCTGCTACACAAATGCCCTGGCATGCTTTGACTTCTTACTGTGATATTGTAAACCATTAGAACAGAGGTGGGCAAACTACGGCCTGCAGGCCACATCTGGCCTGTGGGACCCTTCTGCCCGGCCCCTGAGCTCCTGGCCCAGGAGGCTAACCCCCGGTCCCTCCCCTGCTGGTCCCCCTTCCCCGCAGCCTCAGCGCGCCGCACCACCAGCGCAGTGCTCTGGGTGGCAGCGCAGCTGCAGAGCCGCGGCCTGACCCGGTGCTCTGTGCTGCGCGGTGGCTTGGCTGGCTCCAGCTGGGTGGCACGGCTGCCTGCCCTGGTGCAGCCCTGTAGCGCTGCCAGCCAACGATGCTCCAGGCAGCGCAATAAGGGAGCAGGGAGCAGGGGGGGATTGGATAGAGGGCAGGGGAGTTCGGGGTGGTGGTCAGGGGGTGGGAGTGTGGATAGGTGGCGGTCAGAAGACAGGGAACAGGGGGGTTGAATGGGGACAGGGATCTCGGGGGGGACAGTCAGGAAGGTAGAGAGGGGTTTCGATGGGGCGACGGGGGGCGGGCAGGGGGCAGAAGTCCCAGGGGGGCCATAAAGTGGCGGGGTGGTTGGATGGGGCAGGATTCCCGGGGGGGCCATCAGGGGGTAAGAAGCAGGGGAAGTCGGATGGGGGCGGGGGCCAGGCCACACCTGGCTGTTTGGAGAGGCACAGCCTCCCCTAACTGGCCCGCCATACAATTTCGGAACTGCAGTGTGACCCACAGGCCAAAAAGTTTGCCTGCCCCTGCATTAGAAGCACAAATAACACAATTCAGTTTATGTTCACACAGCAGCTCTTTCGCCATCACTTTCATGCTCTGCATCTGCACTTACCATGCTGCCTAAGAGTGTTAATGTCTGTGCAATCTGGGTACATCCGCATGACTAACCCATAATGCCTGTGCAGAGGATAGAGTACCCAGAGAACAAACACATAAAGCAGCAGCAGCGGCAACATTTGAGGCAGTGCATTCTAGAACATCCTACTGCACACACAGCTGAGAAGGAGGAGGATGGGACAAACCATTTGCACAAATATGATTAAGTGCGCCAAATAGGAAGGGTTTTTCTGCCCTGAGCTTTTTTTAAAAATGTCCCACTGGTGCACTACTACCTACCTGTGGTGGCAACCTTAGCAATTCTAGTGTAGACAAGCCGCTGATGTTTTTACCTATATGTCACCTACATTTGCTTTTGAGGAAGGGTGGATGATTTGAGCTCCCACCATTGTTCCCAGTAATAGTGCAACAGTGGGAAATTTTAGTGTAGTTAAGGTCCAAGAGGGTGCAGAGGCCACATTTTTCCAAGCCTGGCCAGTTATAACCCCATCTTTTGAGGTGGCTTGTTGGTTAGCCAGGACTAGCCCCTGTGCCCAGGGGAACATAAGGACAACAATGGAGTCTGGCCTCTGTATCAAGGAGGCAAGAAGCTCTTTCCAGCTTCTCCATGTATACCCACACAGTCTATCCAGACAGGAAGCACAATCTAGCCCTAAATTTTAGTCAACAGATACTGAACTAATGAGTAATGCCACTTGAAATGGAATAATATTTCTCTGAGTATTATTCAAATCAATACAAAGAGACTATAATATTCTACAGAATTATCCGTTTTCGATTGCCCTGTATTTTTCCTGCGTTACCTTGCTTCTTTCACACCAAGGTCTATGAGTGTGCAGTTGTGACAGTAGTTTGCGTGCTCCCTCTTCTTGTGCACCCTTGTAGCACTCTGTCAGACCTGGCTCATAGTACTTATATTTGGAATAATCACGCAATGGTGAGAAGTCATAATAGAAAACTGTAATGAAATAAAAACCCATCTATACCCTTTCTGTAAGAATGTTTAAATAATCAACATCGCTGGGGCAAAGGTGGTTAATTTTTCATATAACAAATAAAGTTGGACAAAACTGAATAAAAGGGTTTAGACTACTAAAAGGTTCTCAGTTTGTGAGCTTGATGTTTTCACTGACATTTTGAATACAGCCTTAAGAGTGATGAAGACCTTAAGCCATTGATTTTCATATTTGAAATTAATAGTCTCTAAAATATGCCGTTAGAACGAGCTAGATGAAACAGTTGTGCAAATCAAAGGGGAAGTTATAGGGTAAATTTTCAGTATACTACACAAGGCATTAAGAGATGGAACTACCTGAGCTGCTTGATTAATTTATCATGCACCAGGTTGAAAATGGCACCTATATCATGTTACAATTTTTTTATAAGAAATGTTAAAGGTAAAAAAAAGTGTCCTTGCACTTTTAACTGCATTAAATCTGTTCCTGCCACACTTTTGAATTATCAGGAGAAGCAGAGTAAACTTGTCCGACAATTTCATTTTCATGGATGGCCTGAAATTGGAATTCCTGCTGAAGGAAAAGGAATGATTGATCTCATTGCAGCTGTCCAAAAACAGCAGCAGCAGACAGGAAACCATCCCATTACTGTGCATTGCAGGTAAGACTTATTTCTTCCCTGCTTTTTTAAAATTTTGTAATCATACCTATTATTTATGATCTGCATAACATTCTCCATCTTCCCTTTCTTCTGGTTTGGTGATTATCATGGCAATGTTCTATTCCAAGTGACTGGACAGTACTTTTTAAAACAAACCAAAACCAAAACGCTGTTTCTTCCTGGATTAGTTAGTAAACAATACAAACCACTAGCCCTAGTGATGAGAGGATATGTGTCGATTACAGTTGCCTGAGGAATAAAACATTCAAATACATGCTTGCACCTGAGCTTCATTCAGTCTTGTGAGTGGGAAAATACAACTGCAGTTTATCCAGCCCATACTTCTTTAACTTGCTGGCAAGAATACTGTGGCAGACAGTGTCAAAAGCTTTGCTAAAGTCAAGGAACAACACGTCCACTGCTTTCCCTTCATTCACAGAACGTATTATTCTAAAACGTGTTGAAGGAAATTTGACAATTTGTAATTAGCATGTAAGCTCTTTAGGGCAGAGATCATCTCTTTGTTCTGTGACTGCTCTATGAGTGGTGCTCCCAGGCGTTACCTCGATACAAATAATAAATATCACCTCTCTCTAATTTCCCCTTTTTGGGAAAGATTATGCAGTGATTTCCACATGCTTAAAAGGGGAAGGAAGCCAATGGGTAAGATCCTCAGGTGGTATAAATTGCCTACTCAAGTCAATGGAACTATGCCAATTTACATCAGCAGTTTGTGGTAGGACAACTCTGGTGATATCTGGAGTCCTCAGATTACCCCCTTTTAATCTGCCTGTTGACTTGGGTGTGGTGCACAAACGTCACTAATTTCATTTAGAAATAATTTCATCTAGAAATAATTTAGAAATCGGTTTTATATATTCGAGTGTGTGTGTCCCCACAGAAAATGCTCTAAGTGCATTAAGTGCATTAACTCGGCGGAGTGCTTCCACAGTACCGAGGCAAGCGTCGACTTCTGGAGTGTTGCACTGTGGGTAGCTATTCCACAGTTCCCGCAGTCTCCGCTGCCCATTGGAATTCTGGGTTGAGATCCCAATGCCTGATGGGGCTAAAACATTGTCGCGGGTGGTTCTGGGTACATATCGTCAGGCCCCCGTTCCCTCCCTCCCTCCATGAAAGCAGCAGCAGACAATTGTTTCACGCCTTTTTTCTTGAGTTACCTGTGCAGATGCCATACCATGGCAAGCATAGAGCCTGCTCAGGTAACCGTCACCGTATGTCTCCTGGGTGCTGGCAGACGTGGTACTGCATTGCTACACAGCAGCAGCAACCCCTTGCCTTGTGGCAGCAGACGGTGCAGTAGGACTGGTAGCCATCATCGTCATGTCCGAGATGCTCCTGGCCACGTCGGCCAGGAGCGCCTGGGCAGACATGGATGCAGGGACTACATTAGAAGTGACTTGACCAGGTCATTCTCTTTAGTCCTGCAGTCAGTCCTATTGAACCATCTTATGGTGAGCAGGCAGGCGATACGGATTGCTAGCAGTCCTACTGTACCATCTTCTGCCAGGCAGGCAAGAGATGAGGATGGCTAGCAGTCCTATTGCACCATCTTCTGCCAAGCAGCCATGAGATGTGGATGGCTTGCAGTCCTTCTGCACCGTCTGCTGTCAGCCAAAGATGTAAAAGATAGATGGAGTGGATCAAAACAAGAAATAGACCAGATTTGTTTTGTACTCATTTGCTGCTCCCCCCCCCCCGTCTAGGGGACTCATTCCTCTAGGTCACACTGCAGTCACTCACAGAGAAGGTGCAGCAAGGTAAATCTAGCCATGTATCAATCAGAGGCCAGACTAACCTCATTGTTCCAATAAGAACAATGACTTAGGTGCACCATTTCTTATTGGAACCCTGTGTGAAGTCCTGCCTGAAATACTCCTTGATGTAAAGCCACCCCCTTTGTTGATTTTAATTCCCTGTAAGCCAACCCTGTAAGCCATGTCGTCAGTCGCCCCTCCCTCCGTCAGAGCAACGGCTGACAATTGTTCCATGCCTTTTTTCTGTGTGGACGCCATACCAAGGCAAGCATGGAGGCCGCTCAGCTCACTTTGGCAATTAGGAGCACATTAAACACCACACGCATTATCCAGCAGTATATGCAGCACCAGAACCTGGCAGAGCGATACCGGGCGAGGAGGCGACGTCAGCGTGGTCACGTGAGTGATCAGGACATGGACACAGATTTCTCTGAAAGCATGGGCCCTGCCAATGCATGCATCATGGTGCTAATGGGGCAGGTTCATGCTGTGGAACGCCGATTCTGGGCTCGGGAAACAAGCACAGACTGGTGGGACTGCATAGTGTTGCAGGTCTGGGACGATTCCCAGTGGTTGCGAAACTTTCGCATGCGTAAGGGCACTTTCATGGAACTTTGTGACTTGCTTTCCCCTGCCCTGAAGCGCATGAATACCAAGATGAGAGCAGCTCTCACAGTTGAGAAGTGAGTGGCGATAGCCCTGTGGAAGCTTGCAACGCCAGACAGCTACCGGTCAGTTGGGAATCAATTTGGAGTGGGCAAATCTACTGTTGGAGCTGCTGTGATGCAAGTAGCCCATGCAATCAAAGATCTGCTGATATCAAGGGTAGTGACCCTGGGAAATGTGCAGGTCACAGTGGATGGCTTTGCTGCAATGGGATTCCCTAACTGTGGTGGGGCCATAGACGGAACCCATATCCCTATCTTGGCACCGGAGCACCAAGCCGGCGAGTACATAAACCACAAGGGGTACTTTTCAATAGTGCTGCAAAGTCTGGTGGATCACAAGGCATGTTTCACCAACATCAACGTGCGTTGGCCGGGAAAGGTACATGACGCTCACATCTTCAGGAACTCTGGTCTGTTTCAAAAGCTGCAGGAAGGGACTTTATTCCCAGACCAGAAAATAACTGTTGGGGATGTTGAAATTCCTACAGTTATCCTTGGGGACCCAGCCTACCCCTTAATGCCATGGCTCATGAAGCCGTACACAGGCAGCCTGGACAGTAGTCAGGAGCTGTTCAACTACAGGCTGAGCAAGTGCAGAATGGTGGTAGAATGTGCATTTGGACATTTAAAGGTGCGCTGGCGCAGTTTACTGACTCACTTAGACCTCAGTGAAACCAATATTCCCACTGTTATTACTGCTTGCTGTGCACTCCACAATATCTGTGAGAGTAAGGGGGAGACGTTTATGGCGGGGTGGGAGGTTGAGGCAAATCGCCTAGCTGCTGGTTACACGCAGCCAGACACCAGGGCGGTTAGAAGAGCACAGGAGGCGCGGTACGCATCAGAGAAGCTTTGAAAACCAGTTTCATGACTGGACAGGCTACGGTGTGAAAGTTCTGTTTGTTTCTCCTTGATGAAATCCCCCGCCCCTTGGTTCACTCCACTTCCCTGTAAGCTAACCACCCTCCCCTCCTCCCTTCAATCACCGCTTGCAGAGGCAATAGAGTCATTGTTGCTTCACATTCATGCATTCTTTATTCATTCATAACACAAATAGGGGGATGACTACCAAGGTAGCCCAGGAGGGGTGGTGGAGGAGGGAAGGAAAATGCCACACAGCACTTTAAAAGTTTACAACTTTAAAATTTATTGAATGCCAGCCTTCTGTTTTTTGGGCAATCCTCTGTGGTGGAGTGGCTGGTTGGCCGGAGGCCCCTCCACCACGTTCTTGGGCGTCTGGGTGTGGAGGCTATGGAACTTGGGGAGGGGGGCGGTTGGTTACACAAGAGCTGTAGTGGCAATCTGTGCTCCAGCTGCCTTTGCTGCAGCTCAACCATACACTGGAGCATACTGGTTTGATCCTCCAGCAGCCTCAGCATTGAATCCTGCCTCCTCTCATCACGCTGCCGCCACATTTGAGCTTCAGCCCTGTCTTCAGCCCGCCACTTACTCTCTTCAGCCCGCCACCTCTCCTCTCAGTCATTTTGGGCTTTCCTGCACTCTGACATTATTTGCCTCCATGCATTCGTCTGTGCTCTGTCAGCGGGGGAGGACAGCATGAGCTCAGAGAACATTTCATCACAAGTGTGTTTTTTTTTCTTTCTAATCTTCACTAGCCTCTGGGAAGGAGAAGATCCTGTGATCATTGAAACACATGCAGCTGGCGGAGAGAAAAAAAGGGACAGCGGTATTTAAAAAGACACATTTTGTAAAACAGTGGCTACACTCTTTCAGGGTAAACCTTGCTGTTAACATTACATACATAGCGCATGTGCTTTCGTTACAAGGTCGCATTTTGCCTCCCCCACCGCGTTGCTACCCCCTCAACCCTCCCCTCTCCCCGTGGCTAACAGCGGGGAACATTTCTGTTCAGCCACAGGTAAACAGCCCAGCAGGAACGGGCTCCTCTGAGTGTCCCCTGAAGAAAAGCACCCTATTTCAACCAGGTGACCATGAAGGATATCTCACTCTCCTGAGGATAACACAGAGAGATAAAGAACGGATGTTGTTTGAACGCCAGCAAACATACACTGCAATGCTTTGTTGTACAATGATTCCCGAGTACGTGTTACTGGCCTGGAGTGGTAAAGTGTCCTACCATGGAGGACGCAATAAGGCTGTCCTCCCCAGAAACCTTTTGCAAAGGCTTTGGGAGTACATCCAGGAGAGCCGCGAATGCCAGGGCAAATTAATCCTTTCACATGCTTGCTTTTAAACCATGTATAGTATTTTAAAAGGTACACTCACCAGAGGTCCCTTCTCCGCCTGCCGGGTCCAGGAGGCAGCCTTGGGTGGGTTCGGGGGGTACTGGCTCCAGGTCCAGGGTGAGAAACAGTTCCTGGCTGTCGGGAAAACCGCTTGCTTGCTGTGAGCTATCTACAACCTCATCATCATCATCTTCTTCGTCCCCAAAACCTAGTTCCGTGTTGCATCTCCATTGAAGGAGTCAAACAACACGGCTGGGGTAGTGGTGGCTGAACCCCCTAAAATGGCATGCAGCTCATCATAGAAGCGGCATGTTTGGGGCTCTGACCCAGAGCGGCTATTAGCCTCTCTG